ATCCTTGGCTTCATCTGTCTCAGCACCACAGTCCCTGGGACCCCTCTTTACCCCCAGCTGGCCTCCCTACTTCTCTCTTAGCCAAGGTGGGTTTACGGTGACTGCGTGGCCTCTTACTCGTTGGGGCCCCTCTGAGGGTTGCTGGGAGTTACAGAGAGTTCTGGGAGGGGAGACAGCCAGATCACACTCAGGAAGCATTTTCCATTAAATGCTCCTGGCACACTGTCCAGGGAGATGTCAGAAGAAGGAACCCGGTCTGCAGGCCTCCAGCAATTTTTTGTGCTTTTCTTTATCGTTCTATCACTAATACCGATTTTTTATTCTTTTTCCTAAAGGGGACCTTTAAAGTTGGACTGGCCCTGCTCTCACTCCTTCATAACACATCTCCACTCTGATGGCCAGACCGTTTCGCTAGAGAAAGCATGTGATCTTCCCGGGCCCCCACACAGCCCCTGGGGCACCTGCTGCTTTCGGGGGGAACATGCCAAGCCCTCCTGTGACCCTGGGTGATCCGGCCATGGCCAGCCTCCATCCCAGCGTTTCCCACTGCTGCGACCCTTGCCCCTCTGCTCAGCCACGTGGACCTTTCTGGAGCCCCTCAGACGCCTCAGCGCCCGGGCTTCCCCACCACTGCCTTGGTCTGGGAACTCCCCCCGAAAGCTGAGGATTCAGGGTCAACAGCTCCTTGTCAGTGAGGCCCCCGGAGCCCCAGACCTCACCACACGTCATGACGCCTGGCCTTCCCGCCAACGCCAATGGCGCCTGCATGAGAGGGTCCAGTTCTGTCCCCGATGCCACCTACCTCATTCACCAGGTTCTTCAGGCCGAAAAGCTAAGAGCCCTGGATTCACCTCATTCTCTCAAATTCACATGTAATTGATCAGGAAGTCCTATGAGCTCTTCACCATACATCCACGTCCATGCATCCGATCCCATCCAGCCACTTCCGGCTGCCTCCATGGCTACCATCTTGGTCCAAGCCCTGGGTTATTCCCAGGGTTATTATCATCTCACGTGGGTAATTCTAAATCCTCCTAAACTGGTTTTCTGTTTCTGCACTATTCTACAAACAGCTAGGAGAAGAATCCTTTAAAAATGTAAGTCACATTACATCACTCTCTTGTGTAAACTCTCTGCTGGTTAACCGTCACCACCCCACCTTGGAGTGACATGGTCCCTGCCCACCTCCACGACCTCATTCCTGCCACTCCATCCACTCTGATCCTCCAGCCACACTAAATTTCCTGTTGTTTCTACAATACTCTCAGCTTGTTGCCACCCCAGGGCCTTTGCCCATGCTGTTCTCTCAGCCAGGCACGCTCTTCACTCAGCATCTTGCTTAGCTTACTCCCTCTGTCCGTTCAGAGAAGCCCTCTGTGGAAGGCAGCTTTAAAGATGGCCCCCAAGGTTCCACACCTTCTGCCCTGCCCATGTGTAATCCCTTCCTCTCAAGGGTGGGCGAGACTCAGATACTTGTTTTTAATACATAGAATAGAACAAAAACAATGGGAGTTTGCTTTTAACATTGGGCTACAAAAGGACTGTCACCTCTGTCCTGCTGTCCTCTCTCTTTCTCTCTCCCTCCATGGTTTGCTCTGAGGGAAGCCAGCTTCCATATTGTGAGCTGTCTATGGGAAGGTCTATGTGGCAAGGAACAAAGGACAGACACCCCCACCAACAGCCAGAGAGGAAAGGAGACTCTCGGTCCAGTAGCCCACAAGAAACTGAACCCTGCCAACAGCCATGTGAGTGAGCTTGGAATTAGATCCTACCCGGGTCTAACCTTAAGATGACACCAGAGCCTTGGACAACACCCTGACTTGGTTTGTGAGGAGAACCTGAGCCAGAGGACCCTTCCAGGTTGTGGGACCCAACCCCCAGAAAAAGACGGTAGGGGCACCTGGGTAGCTCAGATGGTTAAACATCTGACTCTTTTTTTTTTTTTTAAGATTTTATTTATTTGGGGCACCTGGGTGGCTCAGTGGGTTTAGCCTCTGCCTTCGGCTCAGGTCATGATCTCAGGATTCTGGGATCGGGTCCTGCATCAGGCTCTCTGCTTGGTAGGGAGCCTGCTTCCTCCTCTCTCTCTCTCTGCCAACTTGTGATCTCTGTCAAATAAATAAATAAAATCTTTTTAAAAAAAAGATTAAAAAAAAGATTTTATTTATTTATTTGACACAGAGAGACACAGTGAGAGAGGGAACACCAGCAGAGGGAGCGGGAGAGGGAGAGGAGAAGCTCCCTGCTCACCTGGGGCTCGATCCCAGGACCCATGACTTGAGCTGAAGGCAGCTGCTTAACGACTGAGCCACCCAGGTGCCCCTAAACATCTGACTCTTGATTTCGACTCAGGTCATGATCTCAGGGTTGTGAGATAGAGCACTGTGTTGGGCTGGGTATGGAGCCTGCTTGAGAATCTCTCTCTCCCTCTCCACACTCCTCTTGCCCCCCACGCTGTTCAAGTACACCCCCCTCTCAAAAAAAAAAAGAGGGAGACAATAAGAATCTGTTGTTTTAAGCTGCTAAGTTTTGGGACTGCTTGTTATGCAGCTGTGGCTAACATATACACTCTCCTTAGCCTGCTCGCCCCAAGCTCCTGCCACTCCATCGCCTTACCCAGCTTTGTTTCTTGGTAGCGTGGCTGTTCCTTCTGCATCTTTTCTAGCCCAGAGCCTGGCCCCATGCAGATGTTCAGGAATTACTTGTGAATGAGCAAATACGGGAAGGCACACAGGAGGCCCAAAGGGGCAATGCCATAGCTCAGAAGAGCCAGAAGTAGGGGGCTCAGGAGGGAGGAGTCTGGCTCACCCCAATCCCAGTTGGAGGTTACCATTCTCTCTTAGTTGAGACTGGGGAGCCTGGTCTCCCACCTCCTCAGAAGCCTGCTGGTCTGGGCCCAGGATTCTGGAGCTCATGGTCTCTGGAGGAGAAGGAGTCCCAGCTGCATACTCCACTCCAGACCAGACCTTCTGTATTCCTCTGCTCTCTGGACTTCAGGCCTGTTTTTCTTTGTTTGGTATGGAGATTTCCTAAATGCCTCACTTAGAGTGATCTAATTTTTATACCCTTGTCAGACTTTTCACAAAAATAATTTAATAGATAAGAAAAGAATCCTATTCCAACCCACGTGGCTCAGTTTTTGTTTGGAAATGGTCCCCATGTCCATAAAAAGGAAAGGACCGCCAAATCCAATCCCCTCCCGGCACTGTCCCCACAGGGTCTCAGGCTGTGTTGGGGGCCAGGAGGCCAGGGAACCTTCCAGCAAAAACACTGGGCCCGAGTCGGAACCTGGTGCCCAGTCTGGGTCTGGCAAGGGCTGGCCGTGTGCCCAGCTAACTGAGCCATTTCCTCCCAGACTGGGGCAAGTTTCCTGCCCAGAGGGAACTGAACACGCTCCCAGGCAGAGGGGGGCTCCCCTGGATTGGGGGAGGGGGCAACCACAGGCATTTCCCCCCACCTCAGCTACTTTGGAGCTAAGAGGCCTTCCTGGGGGTAGAGCGGGGAGAGTAAGGGATCAGAGATTGGGTTTGAGGTGGCCATTTCTGGAGGAAGAAGCTGAAACCACGCTGTCCAACTTTGGGGCCAGCCTGCCTCTGTGTCCCAGGTGTGCCCTGGGGTGGGGAGCAGAGAATCCTATACCAGATGTTGTCTGTCTGGAAGCAGTAACCTTTGGGTGACTGTGGTAGCCTTTGCTGAGAAGCAAGGCTCGCCAGAACCTGGGATCCTCCAAGAATCTTCTCGCCTCACCTCCTCCCTGGTGTGTCCTCTGTCACTCCCGGACAACCTGACCCCCGTAGTCCCCTGGACACCCCCTAGCTAGGAGTCTTCTTTGCCCTGTGGGGCCACTCCTCCAAAAGGGCCCTCAATCCCTGTAGCCTCAGGCTACTCTGCTCACAAGGTGACTGGAATCACATTCCAGAACCTTCCAGGAATGGATCTGCCATATTTTTTATGTGCACCTCTGTTGGTTTTCCCTGGCCCCAGTTCTTCAGCGAGAAGAGGGTAGCAGGAAGCACGCAAAGCACTTGCACTTTGCCGGGCAGGCCACCTGGGCTCCAATCCTGGCTTCCCCACTAACTAGCTCTGTGACCTTGAGGAAGTTACATAACCTCTCTGGGCTTGTTTCTGAATCTGTTAAAAAGGGATAACAGTAATTGTCTCTTGGGGCTGATGTCAGAATGAAATGAGATTGCAAAAGTGCTTGGCACGTGGTAAGCACCCTACACATGGCCATTTTTCTTCTGATTGGCTCAGAGAGTGGCAGCTACCCACCCAAGGGCACACAGCAAGTAAGCAGAGGAGCTGGTACCCAACCTTTTCCCAGATACTCTGTGGTCTCCTGGGCTGGGCCCTGCAGGAGAGACAGGGCTGAACGAGGCTGAGATGGCAAAGGACCTTCATGGTCTTGGACAGCCTAGGGTGAGACGGGACACGGACACTGTCCATCACGACTGCAGGTGGGTGCTGGACATGAGTCCTTGCCACTGGGTCCCTCATTGCTTCCTCAGACACATCAATATGGAACTCCTGAACCCCAGGGAACCCAGCCCGCATGTATCCCCGGAACCTGCCCCAGCCAGAAGGGCTGTGTGGCCTCAGAAAAGCCTCTTTCCCTCTCTGTATGTTCATGATTCTAAGCACAGGTTGAGAAAAATCATCTTTATTATTGTTCATGGAGGAGGTGAGGGAGGCCAGTAAAGGGGGCCATTCTGAGGACGCAATTCTCTCTCATTCCCCAAACCCCCTGGGGAAGGAGGGTCTGAGGGGGTTGTACCCATTGTCCATCCTGAGAAAAACGGGGCTTCACCCACTGGCCTCTGGTGTCCCCCTTCGGAGGCCCCTAGCCCCAAACCCTCCCTGCCAGGAGCCCCCAGCGCCCAGCTCGGGCTCCAGCTGAGGGCCAGCCCTGTCCCTCTGCCTCAGGGCAGTGCCCTGGGGTCAAGGCCTCCAGAAGAGCCCGGGTGGGCCTAAGACAGACTCCAAGTCCTGGCTAAGGCCAGTCAGGAGGGGGCTGGGCCCCGGGGCTGGGCGGCTGCTGAGGGCTGGGTGGCCGCTGAGGGCTGGGCGGCTGCTGAGGGCTGGGTGGCTGCTGAGGGCTGGGTGGCCGCTGAGGGCTGGGCGGCTGCTGAGGGCTGGGTGGCTGCTGAGGGCTGGGCGGCCGCTGCGGGCTGGGCGGCTGCTGAGGGCTGGGGCTGGGACTCCCTTGCAGCAGACACTGTCGGCCTCTGGGATGGAAAATCCTGAGGGAAGGTGGGGAGGGAAAGATGGAGGACACCACTCAGATCCCCCATCCTCTGGTGGGGGACTTCAGGCCTCGGATTACCCAGGCCCTTCCTCCAACACAGGACCTCTGAGGGGTCAAAGGTTAACACCAGGAGGAAGAGGGGATTTCAGCTCCTCCTGCCCCACCCCAAGAAAGGTCATCCCAGCTCTTCTTAAACTTGGGGCGTGTTGAGGCTCCTTGAGCTGTCTGGGGCAGGGCTCAGGGTCTGGGGGAGGCGCTCGGGGAGGAGGGCCCATCTGTACCTGGCAAAGGTCCAGCAGAGTGCGGCTGCCCGCCAGGCACCAGAGCTCGCCCAGCAGGGACAGGACGACTCCCAGGAGGTCCAGCCAGCTGCCCACGGTCAGCAGCAGCACGAAGAGGCCGCCCATGCGCACCAGCAAGGTCTGGACGTGACTCTGCAGGCCGGGGTGCTGCCGTTGCTCTTCTATGGGGGTGGGGGGAAGGGGGTGCTTGTCACTGCTTGCCACCGTACCTGGAGCCCCAACCTCAGGTCCAGCTGGAGCGGAGCCTGGACCTCCCAGCTGGGGACCACCCCACCCCCGCAGCCCCCTTCCCTCCCTCCCTCCTCCCCCACCCCCACTCTCTGAGCACCCGCCTCCCAGGCTCATTGCTCACCCCCAAGCCTCCCTGCTGTTTTGTGCTCTGCTTGCAGTGAGGGTGGGGGAGCAACGACAGCTCCAAGTGGAGGAGTCCTCCCGACTGCACTCCCACATCTGATGCCTCAGTAAACCCTGGGGACACTTTCTGCTAAGTGGATCCCCACCTGGGCCCACCTCCACACTCCTGCTGCTCTGCCTAGTCCCAGCTCCTGGCTTCTGTTCTTGACTTTGTAGGTCAAGTGTCTACTCCATGTCTGTTCAGCAGCTAGTGACCTTCTAGATGGATCAACAAGATGAAATCTTTCCTTTGCTTACATTCTTCCCAGGACTTTCCATTGCATCTGGGGTAAGCTCCAAACTCCTTACCTTGCCGGTGAGGTCCTGCCTGATAGGATGCCTGTTCTCCAACCCCACCTCACCTCACCTCTGACCTGCTCCCATTCCTTATATCCTGGAGGCTTCCAGGTCTTCTTTTTGTTCAGCAAGCACACCAAGCTCAGGGCCTTTGCACCTGCTGCTCTCTGCCTGACTGCACTTCCCTGTCCTGCCCCTTTTACCCCATCTCTCCCCTGCAGCCAATGGTGTTTCCTATAGCCCGCATCTGACCAGGTTGCTCTCCCCTACTGAAAACCTGTAGTGGTTTCTCAGCAGATGGCCAGCCTGGCTGATGAGGGCTCCCCATCAGGCCCCCATGCAGCTGGCCAACCTCATCCTCTCCCCATTCCCTTGGGGTGACAGCCACACTCAACTTTTTTCAATTGTTTGACGGTGCTATGCCTTCTCTCACCTCTGGGGTTTGGCATGTGTGGTTCCTCCTGCCCGCCACCTCACACCTTTCCTGCTGGGCTCCTACCTATTCAAGCTCCATCTCCTCAGAGCTCCCACCTATTCAAGCTCCATCTCCTCACAGCACGACACACCCTTCCCTGAGCTGTTCCCTGTGGCTTCTGTTGGTAGACAGGCGCCCTGGGATGGTAGAGGTGGGGTCTAACCGTGAGTGGCCTCCCCGGGTCCCAGCATGGTGCTGCACCCAGGTCAGACCACGGGATGTGAGTGCCGAGTGGCCCAGCTGCCCCCCCAGGACCCCAGTGGTGGCCCCTACCCTGCATGTAGATGACCAGCAGGGCGTAGCAGATGACGAGCGGCGTCCAGAAGCGCACGGCATCCGAGGTGGTCGGGAAGTCCCGGTTGATGAGGGCCACAGCCGCCAGGTCACCCACAGCAAAGGCCACAGCCAGGGCACGGGCCAGCAGCCTGGGGAGGCCGTGAGCGCCGGCCAGCAGGCCCAGGCAGACCCCGCAGTAGTGCTGGCTGCTGTGTAGCTCATACAGCTGGCAGGTGTGGCGGCAGAGGCGCCTGGCACCCGTGCCCAGCAGGGTGGCCAGCCAGAGGCCCAGCAGCAAGTTCAAGGTGCGGTGAGGGGCACCCTCCTGCAGGAAGCTCAGGCCGCAGGTCAGCCCACAGCCCAGGGAGTACTGGCTTACGAGGTACAGCTGCAGCCTCTCCCTCTCAGAGCCCTGCGTGGGGCGGGAGTAGAAGAGGGATGTGGTGGGGGGTGCTGGGGGTTACAGCTGCAGCTTCTCCCTCTCAGAGCCCTGTGCGGGGCGGGAGCAGAAGAGGGGCACAATGGGGAGGGCTGGGGGTGCTCAGGCCTCCAGCTGTTTCTCACCAGGCACACAGACCACTCTGTAGGAGGCTGGAGCCAGAAGGAACCTTGGGAATCGTTTCCCAAGAAGGAATATTGCCTTCAAGTCAAGCCCTCCTGGGACCATTTCTTTCTGCTTGATTTCCCTCACAAATGTTACTTGGGACCCACGTGCTTACTGAAGGTTGGTGGCTCGGAGCCTTGAAGACCTGGGTTCAAAGCCTGACTCTACCTCTTGCTGGCTGACCTGGGACAAGTCGCTCACCCTCTCTGAGCCTTAGTCTCCCCACCTATGAGAAGCAGGTCACAGCAGAGCTTTGCCCGCTAGGACTGTGAGGACACGCGAGATGACGCACCCAAAGTAGCTGGCGGGCGCCTGCCTGGCACGTGGGGGGAGCCACAGCCGGGAGCTGCTACCGCTCTCTTCTTGGACTGGGGCTGCGGCCACTGCGGGCCACTGCGAGAGCGAGTGAGCAGGGGTCTGTGCTCCCAGTCCCTGGAGGCAATCTGTACTCTCCAGTCTCAGTCTTACAGAAAAGGGGTGGTGAGGAGACAGGGTGCTCCCGCTGGGCCCCCGCTTCCGGTGAAAACTAGGGCCCAGGGCTGGGGAGTGACTCACCACCTCCGGAAGTCTTACCTGGCCCAGGGAGAGCAGTGTGGACAGAGCTCGGAGGGAGAACTCAAGCACCACCAGGGCAGCCACCCGGGCCCCCAGGACGGTCAGGATCAAGGCCAGCCCGGCCAGGTGCAGGGTCTCCAGGGAGGCCCATTGGGCCTGCAGCCGCTGCTTCTCCAGCCGCCGCTCGGGGTTGCTGTGGTGCAGAGCGGGCTTGGGCGGGGTCAGAACCCAGCCTCGGCCCAGGCAGCGGCCCTGGGCCCCCAGAAACACTCTCTGGGGACAGGGTTCTCATCCCTCCAGTCCTCCCCACTGGAGGCCGAATTCAGCTGGGGGGTGGGCGGTCAGGGCTCCCGGAGGGCTGGGGAGTGGGCTGGATTGGCAGACACTCACTTGGCACAGTTCACAAAGAAGTAGACCTTCAGGAGGCTGTTCAGGACCGAGACTCCACTGGCCCCAATGAGGCCTGAGGGCAGGAGGGAGGGCAAGTGAGTTTGGCAGGGTGAGAGGTGGTGGGAGACCCACGTGGGGGGTCCACCCTGTGCTGCCCAAAGCGGGTGGAGGGGTGGGGCTGCGTAGGAGGAGGAGGAGGCGGCGCTCACCTTGAAGTACAGAGTCGAGGAGGCCGGATCCCCACTGGAGGGAGGGGAGGCTGGGGAGCCAGGAGGGGAGGGATGGCAGGGAGAACATGGCCGCTGGGATCAGCCCCAGCCCCAGCCCCAGCCTCCAGCCAGATCTGCACCAGAGAGATCAACAGTCATGGGGCAAAGGTGTCTGTGGAGGGAGGGGTGGGGCGGGGAGGGGGAGGGTAGAGGTGAGGGAGGGGAGCGGTCAGAAGTGGGGAGGTCAGAAGTCCCAGAAGAGTGGGGTCAGAAGTGGGAGGGGGGAAGAGGGGAGGAGAGGGGAAGGGAGGGGCGGGGAGGGGAGGCAGGGACCTCAACCTTCAGGGCCGCAGGGTTGTGGGGCTTTGAGAGCCAACCGCTGCTCAGGGGCTCCACATCTGGGCAGCACGACGTGGGGGCCGTCTCCAGCACTGGTCCTGGCCTCTGTCCCCGCTCAAGTTGGATGCCCACTGTTTCGCCTTCCTGAAGGCCCAGGCGTCATTGTTGCCCTGGCCCCCAGCCTTGCTTCTGGGCTCTGCCCCTCAGCCCCAGTTCTGGAAGGGGCCGTCTGTGTCCCCACAGCCCGAGGCTCAGTGCCCTTCCGCCTGTGGTCTGGAAGGTGGTCTGTCCCCCCACAGCCTGAGGTCTGGAGGCAGGGCCCCTATCCTCCCACAGCCTGAGGCTGAGATCCAGGTGGGGGGCCCTCCTCTCCCTCAGCCACTGTGCGTCCTTCCCCGACGGTCCTCTCCCTGGCCGCTAGGTGGCAGGCCTCCATCGGTTGGACGCGGTGGGGTGCGGCTGGCCTGCCCCAAGACTTTTGGATCCTCCTTCCCCAGAGCGAGGAGAGAGAGCCAAGGGTGGGGGTTCAGGGGTGGGGGAGACGGAGGCTGCCAGCAGAAGGGAGTCGTTGAAGTAAACAAAGTAGAAAAGTTTATTGGTTTGGAGTGTGCGCTAGGGGTACCCCTGGGAAGAGCAGACGTGGGGTGTGGCGGGGTAGGCGGTTCAGGCTGCTTGACCTGGGCCAGTCCTGTCCCTTCCAGGGACTCGGCATCCATTCCTGAAGCACAAAGGTCAGCGCGGGCCTGAGGAACACACTCAGCGGGGGGAGTGTGGCTTCAGTTCAGGGGAGAGGGCCCCAGATGAGGACACCTGGCTCTGCGACTCCCCTAAGCAAGTCACTTCCTTGCCCCGGGCCTCAATCTCCTCACCTGAAGAATGGGCATTGCGAGAGCTCCCTTTCAGAACGGTCATGAGGATTTGTGCAAACGCCCACAGTGCTGGGCATCTAGGAGGCCCTCGTAAAAGCTCTTGGTGGATGTCACAGGCTGAATTATGACTCCCCCTCCTCCACATTTGTACATTGAAGTTCTAACCCCCAGTCTGTGACTGTACTTGGAGATGAGGTCTCTGAAGAGGTAATTATGTTAAAAGGAGGACATTAGGGCGGGAGCTAGTCCAGCACGACCAGTTTCCCTAGAAGAAGGGATTCGGACACAGACACAGAAGGTAGACCATGTGAGGACCCTGGGCCGCCAGGGAGAGAGGGCTCAGAGAAACCAACCCTGCTGACACCTTGACCTTGGACTTCCAGCCCCCAGACCGTGGACAGCATCTGTTGTTTGAACCCCTGGCTTGAGGGGCTTTTTTATGGAAGCCCGAGGCCTCCCCGTGTGTGCAGTGACACGCAGGCTCTCCAGCGCCTGTGGTCCTGGCTCTTGCCAGAGGCACCAGTCTGGGCTGGGCAGAGCTAAGTTCCAGTGCTGGTTCTGTCCCTTCAAAGCTGTGTGGCTTTCCACCTGGTGGGCCTCAGCTTCCCCTGCTACGAGAGAATTTCACCGTCTCGCACTATTTGAGGACCAAGCAAGCCGATGCGTGTGAGTGACCCCACTCGGGGTGACGGTCACGACCCGGAGCGGTTATTATAATCACGGTAAGGCTCTGGGATGAGGTAACCCAGGCAAAGGGAAGAGAACTTGCCAGAGAACAGAGAACAAGCGGCTCCAGCCCCGAGCGGGCCGTGGGTCTGGGTTGACTGAAGCTGCCCACACTCTCCTCGGACGTGTGGCAGGGGCTGGGCCTGTGGCCTGCTCTAAGACGGCCATTCCCAGCCGGAGCAGGCCGTCGCTCCTGGGTCCCGGGCTGTGTCAGGAGATGGCGACGAGCGATGCCGCCTAGGTGCCCTGGTGCTGGCTCCGCGCGGCCAGTTTCCGGAGCTCATCCCAGAAGAGCATGCTGAGGATGGTGTGGGGGCCCAGGCGCAGGTAGGCTGGGCCCAGACCCTTGTAGAGGGCCAGGGGGCCCTCCTGCCTCCAGATCTTCACCAGGCAGTCAGCGAGGCCACCGTACAGCTGGCCCTGGGGACAGAGGCAGGGTGGAGGTCACTGCAGGGGTCATGGGGCCTTGGCTGGCACAAGTGGGCGTGTGTCTGTGTGGAGGGGCCTCTGTGGTACATCAGCAGAGAGACTGTCCCCAAGCAGGCAACTTACAGAAAGGTGACCCCTTAGGCTGTGACATTTAAGATGAGACCTCTTCCTCCAGGTAGCCACAGCCCATGCCCAGGGCCCAAGATTTGGCTAGTGGCACGCGAGTGGATTTCGTCCCCATCTCTGCCTTTGGAGGGCACCTTTGTGTTGAACACAACCTGTGCAACGGAACATGGCGGGCCGTGGGGCCAGGCCTAGTTGGGTGACCTCAGGCACGTCACTAGATTGCCCCGATCTTCTGTTTCCTCAGCAGAAAAATGAAGGTGGTTGTGAGGGTAGAATAAAGTGCAGGTGTGAACCTGCTTAGCCCGTGCCGGGGACGTGAGTGCTCAGCAAACCGGCCAAATCGATGTGTCTGCGTGTATGTCACACATCTGCATGTCCCTGGCTGTGTGTGTGTGTGCGCGCACACTGGGGCATGCTTTCCAGCTCCCCGCATCCCCCATGCACCCTCCCCTGCTCACTCGGCCAGTTCCGTCCACGGGCTGATTGTAGAGCCGTGTGCTGACCACGTCGAAGGGAGTCATGACCGCGGCCACGGCGACACTGCTGATCATGCCTCCAGCCAAGGCCACCAGCCAGCTGTCTTCTGGGAGCCACTGTGGGGATGGGACAGGCTCTGACCCCTGCAGCTGCTGCCATCCCCCCACCCCCATGGTGCCCACCCTACCCTCCCAGTACTTGCGGGCTGGAAGAGTTGGGGTTAAGGGAGCAGACCAGGCCCCTCTAGCCATTCCCCCAGCCCAGCTCCTTCACGGCATCAGGGCTCCGGCCCCCACCCCTGCTGGGCACAAGGGCAGAGCCGGGGTCCTCAGCTCTCTTCAGGGGCCCTGTCTGCCCCTCCCACTGGCCTTGCCTAGATGGGCGTCCAGCTGGAGATGTTGGGATGGGATGAGGGCCCACACAGGGAGAATGGAGGCAGATGGCCCTATTCTGTCATGTCTGAGGGTGGGCACGGGTGTCCCTGGCTCCTCACCTGTCGCTTCTGCACCCAGGCCTTGGCAGAGGCAAAGGTGGCCAGCTGGGCGGCTGAGCCGACCATGACCCTGGGCACGGCCCCACCCACGCCCCGCCATAGCCCTGCCAGGCCCTGCTGCCGCCAGATGGTCTCCAAGGCACCCAAAACACTCTGTGGGGAGAAGGCACCGGGTCACTGGGCAGCCCCTGCCAGCCCACCCAGCCCAGGGGGCTCTGGGGAGTGACAGTCCCTACCTGGTGATGGTGCTGGTGCCCCACGGCCATCGCGGCCACCGTCTGGGCCTGCAGCTGCGTTTTGACCTGTGGGAGCAAATGTGACAGAAGAACTGGACAAGCAGCGGCCCGACCTCCAGACCTCCACGAGCCCACACCCACTGCTTAGGGGACATGGGGAACAGGGTTTGGTGGGGAGGCTCTGAAGTCGGCCTGGGTCTACATCTCGGTGTGACCTGGGGCAAGTCACTTGACCTTCTCCCAGCCTGCCCGCTCCCACTGTTCCGAGGACTAAGTGGGATGGTGACTATCCAGCCTCTGGCCTAGTCCGCGGAGGCCCCGCTTATTCTGAACTTGCTGGGCCACATAGGAAGACAGGTGACCATGCTGGGTCTGCACCAGCACCCGCCCTGTCGCCCTCTACCCCCTCCCCTGACTCAGGCCCAGTGGAGCAGGGACCCCAGGAGAAGGAGCATGGGGCAAGGCTCCTGGGCTTTGCACCTAGGGACAGATTCCAACCCCCAGGCAGGGATGTTCTGGGGAGCGTCCCCACCTGGCCTGCCCCACCCCGCCTGGTACCAGAGCCAGCCTGGAAGGTTCCAGAGGCGCCCAGCCTCCCTTCCCCACTGGAGAGCTGGGTCATGGGGTGGTGGAGGTTGGAGACAAGGCACTCACCAAGTAAGCAGGACTCCCCACGAAGGCTCCCAGTGCCCCAGCCACCGCGCCGGCGACCACCGTGCCACCAGGCTGCTGGGTGAGGCCAGCCTGGCCCGCCAGGCTGTAGCAGTAGAAGCGGACGCCATTCATGAGGCCCTGGTAAAGGAGGCCGGCGGCCAGCCCCTTCTGCAGGCCACACAGCCCGTCTGCACGGACCACAGCTGCTACTGAGGCCAAAAAGCCCCTGTAGGGCCGTGGGTAGGTGCCTCGGGCCTGCAGCTCCCCTTGCAGCTGCAGCCTCGTCTTCACCACCTCCAGGGGGTTGGTAAAGACGCAGGCCAGGCAACAGGCCGAGGCGCCCAGCACCAGGTCCACAGCTGGGGCAACCGTCTCCATGGCCTCTGTTCCTGAGGCTGGCCGTGCCCAGGTCAGGGGCCTGGGTACAGGCCCTAGGGTGGGGGCGTTTAGGCTCTCTGCACCCCTGCCCCGCCACAGGGCTGGGGATCTAGGGGGCCTGGGGCCATGTCTGGTGGGCAGAGGTCCCAGTCGGGTAGGCTGGGTGGCCCCTGGTCTATCTTGGGAGTCCACCTTCTCTGCTCAGCCACTGGGGCTGGCGGAGCACGGGACACGCCCCCACTGGCTCGGACCAATCCCAGCTCTCTCTGTTCTCCACACCTTCCAGCAGGGGTGTGCCTGGACCCTGGGATCTGGGGAAAAGGTCACCTGGGACAGGAGGCTGATTGGGGCCAGGGAGAGGGTGCCCGTCAGCCAGGACACCTCCTCCAGCTTTTCTTGTCCTCCTGCCCTCCCTCTGGCCCTGGAGCAAAGGGTACTTCTGGCCTAGTCAGTCCTGCTGCAGCTCAGAGCCCAGGGCACAGGGGCGACTGCCCAGGGAGGGTCCCGGAGCCACGTGCCCAGGCAATGCAGCCACTGTCCACAACCACCCTGCACCATCTCTGCGGCTCCTCTTCCCCAGTCTCAGCCTTCCAGTCCGACTCCCACAGTCTATGGTTCCACTGTTAGGGAGAGCAGCGGCGGCAAAGGGCTTCTCGAGCCCTGTGGAACTGGTTTTGAATCCCAGGCTCCGCTGTCATGTGGGACCCTGGGCAATCACTCCCTTTGCTAGCTTCAGTCTATTTGTAACACGGGAATATTAGTATCTGTCTCAGAGGTTTTTTGGAGGGTTAGAGATGCATGAACAGCACGCCTAGCACAGGGCTTCACCAGGTAAAAGATGGCCCATATCCCTTCCCCCAGTTGCCACCCCCCCCTTCTGGCTCCTTTCTCTCCGTCCATGCCTCAAATGATTTCAGGGCCGTTGAGCCGTCTCAAGGAGTGGCCCGAGGCTTTGGTCATCACCCCATGCGGACTTGCCCCCCAGTCCTGCCCCGCTTCTGGTGGGAGCCCCTTCTGGGCTGTAGGTGTCTGGAGGAGAGGCCCTGGTGTGGAAATGGCTCTGTGTCAGAAGGGACCTCACACCCCTGGGAGCCAGCACCACCCTGGTCTCTGTCCCCAGGGCATCTCCCTTCTGCCATGGACACCCCGCCTCACCGAAGCCTCCATGCTCCACAGGCTCCATGCCCACCCTTCCCAGCACCCACTCCTTTCGGCCCAGGTGTGAGGGCCTGGGGGGGGCATTGCCAGGTGCTCGAGTGCCTCAGGCTCCCCCCCGCTCCCCTGCCTGCACCTGTTAAGCTTGGTGGTACCCTCTGGTCAGCCCCCAGGGCAGCAGCTCAACAAGCCGTCTGGGGACAGCTTGGACTCTTGGGTTTATCCCAAATGGCCGGCCCTTGTCCCCAGAGCTGGGGAGGCTGGCCGTGGAGACAGGCCCTGGGACTAGAGGAGTGTCCTCCCCTCCCCTGGGCGCTGCAGGAAATAGGAGAGCAAAGGTCAGGCCAAGAAACCCTCAGGGCCTGAGCTCCAGAGAGCAGCACCGGGGCAGTGGGTGAGCGGGCACCCAGCGTCGGCACACAGCAGCTGACGGAAGAAAATCAGGAATGAATGGCTGAGCAGCTTTAGACAGGGAGGGGAGAGGCAGCCGGTGCGGGGGTGGGGGTGGGGTGGGGTGGGGTGTGTGGAGATCTCCCACCCCCAGCCGGGTCACAAAGGGCCAGTGACAAGTCTTGGCAATATAACGTGTCTATTTTATTTAAAAAAAAAAAAAAACAAAAAGACACCAAACCCAGACCATCTGACCCCTTCCCCCAGAGGGTCCGGCTCCAGCCAAGCAGGGGACAGTCAGGAGGCCCTCTCCGGGATGTCAGACTGGTGGGCTCTGCCCCACTCCGAGCCCTCCTCTCTCTCCTTTGCTCCCGGCAGAAGGAGACAGCCTGACTCCTGGGTCTCCTGGCACTGCAGTCTGGGGAGAGGTGGGTGCCTTGGACACACAGGGCCTCCGGGCAGCCAGGGAGGGGCTGCCCAGCCTCCCAGCCCCAGCCGGGCGCCCTTGCCGGCAGACAGCAGTGCGGCTGGGGACGGTGTTAGCGAGGCAGCATGCATGGAGGCCCCAGCGTCCGGCTTCCCTGCGCGGCCAGCTGAGTGTTCAAAAGTGAACGAGGATGGTCAGGCCTTGGCCGGGACCCCTGACCCAGGAGGGGAAGAGGGGACTCCTGCCCTCTCAGTCCTCTGCTCCCCGCAGAGTCGGCATGACTCTCATCGCCATCCTGGAGAGGCAGACGCATCCGTACATGCCGCGCGTACGCAGAGCCCATAGGGCTCAGACCCTCCGCCCCAGCGCTCTCCAGTCACCACCGGCCAGGTGGGAAGCCCGAGAGCGTGGAGCACCCGTTCTGTATCCCTGTGAGGGCAGAGACCCTGGCTCGAGCCCCCGTCGGTGCTTCTGTCCCCCAGGGCAGGAGTGGGCCATGGAACACAGGGGCAACCCTGGCCCCAAGCCGCACGAGGGCAGAGCGAGGACAGCGGGTGCTGCTGGCAGGCCCCTCCTGGCCCCGGGATGCCGACTGGCTCCGCCTCAGCACCAGGGGTCCCGGGAGGCTCTGCCCCGGCACAGGCTGTCACTCCGCTGCCAGGCGCTGTGGATGAGGCTCAGGGCGTCCTTGAACTTCTTGTTGGAGGCTTCCTGGATGGCCTTGTGGGGGAGGTCCACCTGTGGGGGTTCCGGGCTAATCTGAGGGCTGTGGTCCGGGACCCTGCTTTCTCGGGCAGCTGTGGGAACCCCGGGTCCCCCTGCACTGTGGGACCAAGGTCAGCAGCGGCGTTTCCCAAGTTCAACTATGAGCTGTGGCCTCAGGGGCACGGGGCCGGAGTCTGTCCCAGAGCTATGGGTATGGTGCTGTCCCCAGGCCCAATTCCTGCCTCTGTACTGTGCGGGGCCCTCCTCCCCAGGGAGCGCCTCCACTCCCTCCTCGGGGCCCTGGGCAGCTAGGTACCTGGTAGATGGTTTTCCACCCAGAGCTGAGTGCAGACAGGAATCGGTCCAGTTCAGATGTGCAGCTCAAGTAGATGACCCAGGGTGGGAGGGGCTGCTGGCTGTCCTGGGAAAACTCCTGGGGCGAGTGGGTCCCCAGGTGAGCAGAGACAGCGTCCCTTCTGCAGGGCCTGCTCCCCCCCACCGCCCCCTCTCCCCACCCCTCCCCCACCCGCCCGGCTCACCAAGACACAGTACTCCTTGCCCGGTTCCGTAGCAACAGCACTGACGTCGGCCAGCTTGGCTGTGCCCAAGGAGCGGAAGAAGCTGGTCTGGCAGTCCTCGTGGCACGTGAAGAGGCGGTCGGCGGCGATCACTAGGCAGCAGGGGATGCAGGGGCTGGGAGTCACCCCCTGGGGGATGACCTGAAGGGCATGGGCAGAGGGGAGGGGAGAGGCAAGCTGGAGTTCTTCCGGGCCGGCCGGCACCAGGACACCACACTCCGGCCCCGCCGGCCCTTCGGCCCCTGTCCAGGGGTTAGACAGGCTCCGCCCACCTCAGAAGCACAGGTGGGGACAGGGGAGGCTGTGGGGGTGTCCTGAGTTCTAGGGTCCACTCCTGGGTTGTCCCCTGGACGTCCCCATCTTGGTTCCCACGAGCTGCTCCCTGAGTGGGAGGCTTTGGGCCAGGGCCCCGGGGATCCTGCACGGGTCGGGAGGCTGGGGGGCAGTGCAGCGGGGGGCGCTCACCCCTTTGGACACGGCCCGGCAGAGATGCTGCATCCAGTCGGCCATGTCGGCCTCGCTGTCCGCGCTCAGCTCCAGGCACGGCCGGTCAGCGAGGATGACCTGGAAGGCGTGGGGCCGATCCGTGGTGTTGGCTCTCCGACAGCCACCGCACTGCTCCCCCCTGGGCCAGACGAGGAGGGGTGAAACGGGAGCAAGGAGGCAGGGGCGGCTCAAGGCGTGCAGACACAGCGTGCCTGCCCCCGCGCCCCAGAGGCGGGAGGACCTGGGAGGGTGGTGCAGACCCCCGGGACTCTCAGGAGAGGCTAGTAGCTGCTGGCCAGGCCCACCCCTTTCTGTGGAACAACTTCTGCTTCCAGAATCGCCAGGACCCTCCTAGCTATTGTGGCCTGGCTAGGCGAGGGGTGAGGAGGGGCTCCAGGCTCTGGCCCTCCCTTTATCGGGGCACATGCACTCACACTCCCTCTTGGGGCCCAAGGCTGTCTCCAAGCATGTGTGTGTCCCTCTTCCACCAGGTCGGGAACTTCCCAGGGGGAGTGACCTTTTCCCCTGCCTGACCAGATCCTTCCCTCCCTGACAGGAAACCATCCCTCCTCCCCTGGCTCAGGATCCTGTAGCCCCTCAGAGATCAGCAGACCCCCAGCTACCGGTCAGGGCTGCCGGATGGGGTGCGGCTGAGTGGGGTGGGCTGAACTGACGGATAAGAGCGGGTATCAGCTCAAGCCAGGGAGGACAGGAGCGCTGGGCCACAGGCTTAGCCAGAGTCCTCACCCGGGGGGGGGGGGGGCGACACGAGGCTCCGTACCTGCCCAGCCCCGCATCGCCAGGGCACTCACCCCATGTTCACCGAGAGCAGGGGGGTGACATCAGTGCGGTCGGGATACTGGTAGAGGATCCCGTTGCTGCAGGGGCACAACAGAGCAGGGGTGAGGCCTGTCCCTGAAGCGGAGAGCCAGGTAGAGCCCAAATCCCAGGGACACCCTGCAAGCTGGGGACTGAAACGGAGGGTGAAGAAGGAACCAGAGGCACAGGAGGGCACGCTACCCCCTCAGCAGCCCGGGACAGTGAGAGGCAGCAGCCCAGCCCACATCTACACCTGATGCCCCAGGATTCCTTGGGCCCCGAAGATGGCAGCCTTTACACAGAAGCTCTAATATCCCAAGGCAGGTGGGCCCTAAAACCCTCATGGGGGTGGAAGGAGGCCCCCTTGGGCTTCTCTCCTCAGCGGCCGGTCCAACAAGCTCCAGGCTGAGCCCGAGGCCGGCGCTGCGGGTGCGCCCACCTGAGTACCACGAAGCATGTCTTCCAGTGCTCCTTGCCCAAGTAGGAGGTGCCCGCCTTGTAATACAGCATGCCTTCTTTGGTGATGACGCCCTCGGGAGGTGAGCAGTGGCAGGGGATGGGACCCAGGGACTCGTCCATGGGGTCCTCCCAGTGGACAAGCCCATAGAAGCGCACAGTGACAGCAGTGGCCTAGGAGGGGCAGAAGACAGAGCGG